TGCAAAAGTTATATCTGGTCGAGTATTATTTGCAAGATACATTAGTGCCCCAATTGCACTAAGATATGGAGTTTCATCACCAAGAAGCTCTCCATCATTTTATGAGGTCGGAATGAATCTTTATTTATATCAAGTGGTCTCACAACCATCGAGGTACTCAATGGATGTGCTTTATCCATATAAAAACGCTTTAGGATCTTTTTGGTATAAGTTGATTGATGGACAAAAAATTCCATCTTTCATTTATAGACCAAGACAAAATTTTGTCTTTCCAGATTTTTCATTTCAAACTCATTTTCAAACAGTTTACTGCTTTTGGAAGCTCCCTAGGAGTTCCAATGAAATTTAGATCATCAGTATACACATCGATTATAACAAATTCTGATCCAGAATTTTTTATAAATACACAAGAACAAATTAGATCATTCTTATACCCTTCTTTCAGCAAATACTCACTTAGGCGATTATACCACATTCGCCCTGATTGTTTCAATCCGTATAAAAAAATTTGAAGCTTTATTGAACAAGTTTCCCGAAAACTTTTATTAGTTTAAGGAACTTTAAGCCCTTCAGGGATTTTCATATAAATTTTGTTGTCTAATGTGCCATACAAATAGGCTGTGACAACATCCACAAGACGCATATCAAGTTTTTCATCGACTGCCAAATTTATAAGATACCTGAAAGTGATCGCATCCACCACAGGAGAATATGTCTCCATATAATCAATGCCATGTCTTTGTGAAAATCCTTGTGCCACAACTCGTGCCACTTCATTTTTATCACTTCGTTTTCGCACAAGAACCCATTTGTATCCCACTGGCTTTATTCCTTTAGGTGTTCGGACAATACGTCTGAATACTTTACATTTTTCAAGTGATGCTAATTCTGCCTGGATAGTGTCATTCCATTTTGGCCAGCCATTTCTCTATCTACATTCATCGACAGATCTTGGTTCAAGATCCTCATTTTGTTGCATTATTTCAACAGTAACATTATAATCAAAAATGTTGTCGACAATAATATTATTTCGGTTCCACCTTTTTGCCGTAGAGACATAACTTATTGAGATCTCTTCATTCATATTATTTTCAGGTACCTGGACCTCCTCCGAGGTCTTATCATTTATTATGTCACAAGGATCTTTTTGAGCAATTGCCTCCATATTATGATCTCCTAGATCATTTGCTTCTTTTCGCTTTCGAGGATTTTTATCTTTGGAACCAATTGGTCTACCATGTTTCAAGCGTGGATTAGACTCATTTGCATTTATAGATTGTCCAATCGGGACATCAATTCGAATAGGAGCATTAGCAGCTGGAATATGTGACTTAGTCACTCTTGGTAGGTTAGTGAATACATCTGGCAGTTGATTTGCAATATTTTGCAAATAAATTATCTTTTGAACCTCGTATTCACACTGATTTGTTCGAGGATCTAAATGAGATAGCGATAATACATTCTAATTTATCTCTTTTTGCAACTGCTTATTTTCTCCCCCTAATATTGGGTATACTGATTCATCAAAATGGCAATCAGCAAATCTTGTCGTAAATAAATCTCCAGTCATAGGTTCCAAATATTTTACAATAGAAGGAGATTCGTACCCAACATATATCCCCTACCTTCTTTGGGGTCCCATCTTTGTGAGTTGTGGTGGAGCAATTGGAACATATACTACACATCCAAATATTCTAAGATGGAAAATATTTGGCTCCTGATCAAAAGGCAATTGTATTGGGAAGACTTTATGATAACTTGTGGGTCTAATCTGCACAAGAGCTGATGCATGCAAAATAGCATGGCCCCATGCCGAAATGGAAAGTTTTTTTCTCATAAGCATTGGTCTAGTAATTAATTGGAGGCGTTTGATTAATGATTCCGCTAGACCATTTTGAGTATGAACATGAGCAACTGGATGCTCAATTGTTATCCCAGTTGGTACGCAATAATCATTAAAGTCCTGGGACGTAAATTCACCAGCATTATCAAGATGAAGTGTCTTAATTGCATAATCTGGAAACTGTGCTCTTAATCTTATTAATTGAGCTAGTAACCTCGCAAAGGCCAAATTGCGGGTTGATAACAAGCACACATGTGACCATCTTGTAGATGCATCTATCAAAATTATATAATATTTGAATGGTCCACGTGGAGGGTGTATGGGCCCACATATATCACCATATATGCGTTCCAAAAATGCAGGAGATTCAACTCCAACTTTAATTACTGATAGTCTAATAATCAGTTTTCCTTGAGAACATGCAGCACAAGAGAATTCTTCAGTTTGAAGAATCTTCTGGTTCTTCGATGAATGACCATGTGAATTCTCAATTATTTTGCGCATCATATTATAACCGGGACGGCCTAACCGGTCATGTCAAATAATAAAATCATTAGTAAACTCCTTGTTTAATATGACATGTGATTCAACTACACTAATATTAGTGTAGTATAATTCGGAGGAAAATACAGAAAACTTTTCAAGCACATATTTTTTTCTGCTTTTATTGTAGTAATATAAAGGTATTCAACCTTTCCTTCATTGGTGGTCTCAATATGATAGTCATTTTGGCGAATATTTTTAAAAGTCAACAAGTTTCTTTGAGACCTACTACAATATAATGCTATCATTAATAGCCAATATAGTTCCTCCTGGTAGTAATACAGTCGCTCTTCCAGAGCCCTCAATTAATTTTGTACTACCAGATATTGTTATGATATTGGCTTTTTTCATAATTAAATAAGATAAATATCTCTTATCTTTTAATATGGTGTGCATCGTAGCACTATCTAGAAGACATATTTCTTCTTTATTATTCATACGGCCAACTGAAGACTGGGAAGTTTTCATATTCTTCAAGAAGAAGAAAAAAATACATCATAAGTAATATTGAAAAATTTAAGAACAAAAGAAACTACATTTATGAAATTAAATACCGACAACATAAAAAGTTTTATTCAAAATATGAACTTCAGAAAAAGAAATACATTTATTCTTATAATTTTCTCAATAATAAATCTTCAGTTATGATGCTCAAAGAAGTCTCCAGCTTCTAATGAGTAATATCTGCAAGACCTTCAATAATATCATCTTTATAGGCAAGGTTTGCTTCAACTTTATCATGATTATTCATAGGGCCCGCCTCAACATCATTTTGAAAAGTCAAGTGAGTCTCAAGTTTATTTTGTTTCTCTTTTATAGATGCTTGATAAAGTTTGACAAAATGTTCAGGTGTACGATAAATTCGTGCCCAATAATTTTTCATACCACATCGGTGGCAAACATTACCTTTGCCTTTTGAAGGGTTATTCTGAAAACCCTTATTGTTCTCTTGTTTATAACGACAACCACCATGACGATTATTATTTCGCCCCTTGCCACGCCCACATATATTTATACGGCCACAATAATTATTATGTTTTTTTTTCAAACTTTGGATCTATCGTTCCCAGATTCGCTTCTGGAAATAGAGTTGATCCAGTGGGGCGGGCTTCATGATTTTTCATTAAAATGGCATTATGTTGTTCCGCCACCAAAAGGCATGAAATTAATTCAGAATATTTCTTAAAGCCCTTTTCACGGTATTGCTGCTGTAACACCATATTTGAGGCATGAAAAGTAGAAAGAGTCTTTTCCAACATGTCCTCATCATTCATAGGTTCCCCACATAATTTTAGTTGGGAAATTATTCTATATACAGCAGAATTATATTCACTTATGGTCTTATAATCTTGCAGCCGTAAGTGCATCCACTCACGATGAACTCTTAGCAATACCGTGGCCTTTAGGTGGTCATATCGTTCTTTCAAACCAGTCCATAATTGAAATGGATCTTTCAAGGTTAAATATTCACTTTTTAACCCTTCATCGAGATGATGGTGAAGGAAAATCATGGCTTTCGCTTTATCCTGACTTGATGCTTCATTTCCTTCTTTAATAGTGTCATCAAGACCTTTAGCGTCAAGGTGAATTTCAGCTTCAAGTACCCATGGAAAATAGTTATTCCCAGAGATGTCAAGTGCCACAAATTCAGCTTTGATAAATTCGACATAGTAAAACTTATTCAGAAGAAAAAATAAAAGTAAACACAACCTAGAGATAATAAATTTGGTTAGAACTTCATGCTGATAACGTGTTAAGAAATGAGAGTAAAATAGAACAATATAGTAATATAGACAAGATGTATAGGAGAATGTAGAAGTTATCTTATTCAAATGTGTTTCTTGTGTGTTCTTCCATAGGCAAAGAATATCTTATTTATACTATATAAGATACACCCAAAACTCACTAGATACATCCTAGGAATTAATAGGTGCATCTATCCAAGTAGTACATTGTATAGAATCTATAGATGGATCAAATGAACATCCATACATTCACTTTATTTATAACAGTACTCATTTTGTTGAAATGAAAGAAAATACTTTTTCTACATCATGAAAAGAAAGTACTTTTTTGTTAAAATAAAAAATACTTTTTTTATCTCATAAAAAGAAAATACTCCTTTGTTGAAATGAAAAAATACTTTATCTATAACATGAAAAGAAAGTACTATTAATAGTATTTCTGTTTAGGATGAGGGTGGGAGGGGGTAGGTCGGGGTATGGGTGGTAGGTGCAGATGTGGGGTGGGGATAAGGAATAGAGTAGGGAAGGTTGAAAAAGAGTTTTGGAAAATATTTTCCCTTCTTTTGATAAGGAAAATATTTCATGAGAAAAATATTTTCCAAAACATTTAAGCCAACCAAACATGAAAAAATTGAAAAATATTTTTCTTAATACCAAACACACCCTTTGTCCTGAATTTAAGTCCTCAATTTTAAGTAGTAGCTCAAAATTTGAGGATACAAAAATTTAAAATAATTAGTCAGGTGAATTGACTAATTCTTAAATGTAAGTATTTTTTAAGTGGCAGGCTTAAAATTGGTTTTCACATCTTATACATTAGGGAAGAGGGATGAATTTAAGGGACATTTCGAACGTTTTTTCTTTTGTCCACAAAACTAAAAGAAGTGGGAGAGACAAGTGAGAAGCAGTGCGCGTGCATTGGTTGAATAATTAGATGATTGCGTCACGTGTACAAATTTCATCATCAAGTTAGAGAGAGGCAGACGAAGCTCCCGCGACCGCAACAACGTATTTCTGTTTCTCTGGGTAGAACTGAACTGAGATCAAATCATGCACCCATTACTTCCCTCAAATTAGGACCAAATATAGGTATTATTCTCATTGCCCTCTAAAATATCTCTCTTCTTTCTCCAAAAATTTTTATTTACTTTTCGTCTTCATTGGCGACTGTTTCATCTCTTCTTTGGATCCCTTTTTCTTTAAAGTGTTATGCTGCTCACTGTTTTTTTCCTTTCTGTTAAACTTTTTCGGATTTCAGTTCCCCTTTTCATTAATTTGTATCATCCGGGTTTATTTTATTGGAGGAAAAATAATTCAAAGTTAGGTTCTTTTTGAGCTTCTCACTCCCAAATTGCTAAAGTTTGTTGCTTTGCATCTTGTTATGGTGCTTTCTTGTTTGGCTTAATTAATGTCAGATAGTACTAAGTTTTGCTTTATCTTTTCTTGTATGTGTGATTGTTGGTAATTACTATTACTAGTTTGTGGGGGAAATTGGAGGTATTTATTTATTTTCACCTGTTTTTGCTTGAAGTATTTGCAGATCAATGGATCTAGGGAATGAGGTGCAGAAGATTCTAAGCTGGACATCTGTGGTAAGCCATCGTAATTTTGGTTAATGTTCCTGTCCCGTTGATATTGATTCAAGGTATCTCTTGGCAAATAATTGTGTTGAGTCTGTATTTTTTTTTAATTCTAGCTCAATATAAGTATAAGAATCTTGATTGTACTAGACATTTCAAAGGGAGGTCAATTTGAGATAGTCATACTAAAAGTTCACCTGGATACCTTCAACGATATGTAGTGCTTCCTACGAACCCTCAATGAATGAGTTATATTGTGAAAATTTGATTTGATTTTTGGTGGTAAAAAGTTGATTTAAGATCCTACATTATCCATCATTATATCCCCCCCCCCCC